TTGCCATGGTACATCCCAATGTCACTGGCCGGTTTTGGATACAGAGTTTGTGATACTTTATACTGAGTTCTTGTAGGACCACTGAGAAGGAGTTTATCTGTCCCACTAATACTTATGTAATAGAAACACTTTCTGAACTTGAAATTATTAGACTGCAGTCTGTATATGGTAAAGATTTTGCAGCCCATACAATGAAGTAAAACACGATCATCATGTCTGCAAAGAAAGGAAAATTAAGAAGTACAAACAAAAGATTTAATTGCAGTTTCAAGTGATGTGATGCTGGTAGTGAAACATCTATAATTATGCTACGTCAGAGAACACTGACACTCAAACTGACAAGGCTTTAAGAAAGCACTAAAGGGCCAAGTTATAAAACGCTGTAAAAAGGGAAGAAAAACAAATGTTAAAAGTAGACTGTTGCATGTGTTTTGTATGTCAGGGTAACTTTGAATTGGGCCCAAATTTGAAGCAGAAACTCAATGTATTGAAGGATCACATTGTATATATGAAAGCCAGCAAAGGTTTCTAGTCATTCTGAAACCTACACAGCTGGAACTTCAGCAACAAGAAAAAGAATTTTTATTCCTTATGTTTTTATAACGAAACGCATTTGGGTTTGTTACCCAAATAAACCTTTTGGGGAACAAAATAAATGACAGAAGAGCACTGTTTTAATGTAGTGGCATTTAAAGGTCTTTTTAGTGCTCTCAATTGCATTTTTCCATCTCATATTTAAGGCAACTCATTTATCTATGTTGCTGGCATTTGAGAGGCAGCCAGATGTTGACACACATAGAGAATTCTTTAGAAAGAAATAAAGCTATAAGTAAGTAATTATCTTGCTTATATATAGTTAAGGCATCGTTATAATGAATATGCCTTGATTGCACACTGTTAATTGTATCCCTTGTGCACTACAGTCAAATAGTAGCCTATATAAATAACATAGCAACAAAAGCATCAATATATTATGCACTCAACTACAGTTCACAAGCACTTAAAATAAGCTTATTGAAACTGAAAAAATAAGTTGTTTTCCGTAGAACTGAACAAAATACATCGTATTTTCCCCAGAACATACAACGCATAGCTGATGGTTCTATCCCACTTTTTCTGTAAACTCAGTGTAACCCTGAAAGCAAAACCCACAAACACCATCACCTCAAAATTACTTTAGAACTACAATAAAATGGTAGTTCAATTGTATGAGGAATTTTATACTATTTATCCCTACTTTTGGGGCACAATTTCTTACTCTGCTCAGAGAATTACAAAGAACATATTGTCTCCTCTGTGTAGGCTTTGCGTAGGTTTCTCATACTTAAAAAGCTTGCTGTGATATTGGTTAATTGCCAGATTTCAGTCACCTCTCTAACCTCTCCCTTTCAGTGGGCGTGAAAGGGTTTACTTGCAATACATATTGCTACTAACTGAATTTTATCTTGTTCTCCTAGATTCTCAGCAGCAATTCCCAAGTTAGAGGCTTCCCCAGAAAGCACGTCAAAGGATTCCCACCCACACACTGAATATCTAACAGGCCCTGACCCATTTTCTCCTTATTAAAGCAGCACTACATATTTTAAATAATAAAAATAATAAACAGAGAGGCTAAATGAATGCGAGAATTGCAGTTGGAACTCTACCCTCCTCAGATTTTAGTTCTGACAAAATTGCTACCAAGAAGCGGAGAGACACATTTAAAATACAAACATCAAATGTATTTTTCCTCAGTGTTCTCATTCAGTAACTCATTACTCCAGCTGTCTTTCAGCTAAGTACAAGGAGGACTTCATTTATTAGTTCTGAATATAGAAAAATCCCCTAATTTAGCCATACTTATCTCCTCTGCCAACCATATATCTTTGGGCATATTTCTGCAACTTGAGCTTTAATAATGTTGTAACTCAGTGACTTAAATATAGGATGCTTAAAAAATGAAGCCTCATAGTGAGTAACAGTTGGAACTATATGATTTTACTAAGATTATTAATGTTACCTAACCAGAATAAGCAATAGCAATTAACACTGCATATTTACAATTGAAGTTTTTTATCGTAGGATGGACTACTGCAAATACTACTGCAAGACTCAAGATCCATCATGTAGTTGATATGCTGGAATTTATTAACATCCCCAATTAAACAAAACAGGTACAATATTCTGTTTTAAGTAGAAACAAAATGGAAATTCAACTGATGTATGACTTTCAATTTGCCCATTGCATTCACAGTTTCAGACATAGTGGGAATCAGATTTTACTGGTTATGGTTGCACAACAGCCTTTTTCTCCACCTTGTGCTGTCACCTCCAAAGGAAGTGAAGCACTTCAGGAAGTCAAATAACCTCTCCCAAAACAGCAATATTAAATAGAAGAGGTGAAAAAAACCCTAGAACAGAAAAACAATGGAGAAGCTTATTTATACTTCTGTGCTGCAGTTCTTCAGTCAGTTACATCTACGGCTGTGCTTCTTACAGAAAGGGCAGCCCTACATTTCTCTCAGCTTGCAACTGCATGCTGCCATTGCCATTTTTAAGACAGCACAACTATTTCCCTGGTGAACCAGGGAACTATTTTACCTGACAATAGACCTGACCAGATAAAGATGTCAACGGGATGAATTCCCTGAGCTTTTGATGCCAACACAGATTTGAATTAAACTGATAAAATTACGATAAAAGATTTATTCCTAACACAGTGCAGAAAATGGACAAAAAAAATCCCATAATATTAGATCAACCATCTTTTAATGAATACTGAAAGAAAAAATTCCATTTATGAAAGCTCCATATCTCATAACGTAAGTAAATCCTTTATACTTACAACTGATTTGTAAGCAAACCCTAGCTTTACCTGTTATTTATAAATTATATACTTATACCTCCTATGCAACTGACTTCCCAGGGAAAGCAGATTAATAATAACCACATATACCATATGTGACCATTCTTTTAACTTAATTTTCCAACATAAACTATTATGAAAAAAAGATATATTTACCTTCTGAAAAAGGACCCACCTGTTCTTTCCAATAGGAAAGACGGGAGATGAGGGAAAACACCAAAGCAAATAAGAATACTGCTCTGTATCTTACAACATATATTCAAGTGGCATGCAGTCATCTTTCAGCGATTAAGACTTTTCTCTAACAACTTAACACTATGTTATTTAAGAATCCACTTCATTCTAATGATAACTTGCATCTGTACAGGTGGACAACACTATGTCTGGAGTCCAAGTAACCAAGTTTATATGATTTTATGAACAAAAACATGAACAAGGAGACCTCCTTTGTTTATAAAGCCATAGTAAGTTACATCAACTGTAATACTATCTTGATTAAAGCTCATCTTTTCACAAACATAAGAAAGCAGAAAATTAACAATGTCAATCATTGGCAGAACAACATCCAACACTTGTAAAATCTCTTCATCCACTTCCTTCACACTCAGATTTGCACAGGATACTTCATGGATAAACACATTGAATCAGAGGACTGTTCATCATTGTCTTGTGTTGTGCGAATGTTTCTGAAAACTTCTATTAGATGTAAGATTACCTTTAATTCAGACTACATATATTTTTTCCTATGACACAAAGAACAGAAGACTTTACAACTCCAATGACATTTGGTGGAGTTTGCAGGCTTAGTTTAAAAGAAAATGAACTTTTTTTGCCAATATTCTCCACACTATTCTGTCAAAAGGAGCATTCTCTGGAGAAATAACAGTTGAGAGAAGAATTCCACAAATTCGTAAGTATACACTGCATGTCACTTCAGCCCACAAAGAACTGAAAATTTAGAGAAATGTATTTAACTGATCTTACAGAGTAGGATGACTAGAAACCAAGCTATGCTTTCTTGTCACATGCTTGCGTTTTTCCCACTAGGCCTCCAACAATGACACCTGAAGAAAGGAACGCACAGTTTAGCCTTTTCTTTCAGAAAAAGTGAGTAATACCTTCTGCATTGCTTGAATACTATTGCTGTCTTAGAACTCCTTTTTATGTGGGGAAACATGACTGAACAACCAGGTGCTTCTTTATCCACCTCTTCCAGTTTTCTTCTTATTGGAAAGATTTGCTTTTCCTCATGTAAAAACTTTTGAAATAAATACTCTGATGTTTTCAACATGACAGTAAGTGTCCTCTCCTTCCTACTTTCCCTGAATTTCCTAAGTATTCATTATTTCATATTATTTAATTTTGTATCTACATAATTTTACTTCTTGGTCAAATTTAAACAATAGCACTTTCTGAAAAGCTCATATTCAACTCGACATATTGCACGCTTTTGCATGAATGTACTCATGCTCTGACTGGGCTGTTTCTTGAATAAAATAAAGGAATAAGATTTTTGTATAGCTAAAAAAATAAATCTAAAAATTTGCATTTAGCAATTGTTCATTTAGCCAATTCAGCACTTCTAAAAAGAAAACTGAAGCATGAGCTTTACACAGAAATAGTAGCTTATTAAATTGTTTAGTAGTTTCTTAAGCCAGTGGCAAAATATTTAGCAAACCTAATAGTGAATTACAAATATTTTTTGGTTTTTGAAATTAAAATATTCATAAGCCATACGTAATTACATCATTATTTAAAGTATATTATTCCATCCTTTTTTGTGAAATACTTACCACAAAGCGTATGTTTTTGTACAACTCTGCCATCAGAATCATCTCAAAGCAAGCAGAGCGGGTGAATCTTTTTAAAATCATTTTTTAAATATAAAATTGGCTACTTGATGCATACTTAAAATTAACAGAGTACAGAATATGCATTTAACTCCAAAAACCTCAGAAGAGCTTGCATGCAATTACTTATAAATAAGTTGAATTTGATCTCCTATTTAACAGGGCACATACAGCATATAATGCTATTCTACAATAATCCAGTAACAATTATATATTAAAACTACAAAAATATATTAAATTGTGCACATAATACCACGGTATCAACCTTATCTCGACCATATTTAAGACAGGAGAAGACAACTTACGGGTACGATTCTGAAAGCTGCTGAGCTATTTTATAAGCTGTGGGGTCCCTGTCTAGTGCATAGATTGTAATGTCGTTGGCTTTCTCTAGCAGAGCTGTAGTATGACCTCCGGCTCCAAACGTCATATCAAGGAAACACTGTTGAGTAAGAAAGACAACACCATTACCTTAGAATAGAAAACTGATAAACCAATTGTTGATTTAAAGCTTCTTTTGCTAATCTGTTTCATATGCTGGAGGAAAACATACCATTCAATATAGACACAATGCCTTTTTGAAAATATTTTGTGCAGAATTGCAATCATGTCAGAGTAATCTTTTTAAGGGTTGTGACTTCCCTGCCAATCCTTCCAGAACAAAAGGACAATCATTTGGTACAACCAACTGCAGCTTCATACTCTTCCCATTTCTTTACATTCTAAGTTTAGAGGAAAGCCACTTGATTGACTTCTTTGTTTGGACTTGCTCAATTTGAGGCATATGAAGGTATATAGGAGATGGGACTACAGGAAGCGATCAGCACCATCTGCTTTGTAAGAATGTGTCTAAAAGGAAGGCTGATGGATTTGTGTATCAATTAACAAAATGACACTATCATAGTTTTATACCACAGATCAAAGTGTGATGGCAGCACAGGCACATATATATCCTGACTGCAACTAACCCAACTAGCACAGAAAAATGTAAGTTTTCAAGACACAGTACCATTGATTTTGGGTTCACTGTGAAAGGACACAGCTATTTATTGAGGTTACTAAGATACGCTGAAGCCCAATCCTGCTGCACCTTCTCTACCATCATTACGTGCGTTAATTAGATGCAGAATAGCATAGGAATAGCCACCTTAACAACAATCCCATTTCAATTGCTGATGTGACATACTCTATGGGCTTAAGTTACACCTTTTGATAAACCATGTGTATTTCCTTGCTTCTGAGGAATACTTACTGCCCATGAACGTATACCATGTCCATTTTTTGGATACACAAACTAAGACTGGAAGATTTTTAGTAATACCAGGCAGACACAGCCATCCTCTCCAGTCTTCTGGACTAAAACCGAAGACACATTCAAGGAACTTTGAATGCACTCTGACTAAAACACACATAGGTACAGATTCAGCACAAGTTGAATAAAATTGGGCATTGAAATTCCTTTAGCAAGTCTCTCAGAACTCAAAGTTCCTGAAAATAAATGGAAATTTCACATTCCTGCCATCAAAAACTTCACAAAAAATCCAAAAAAGACTTTCTATCTCATACTTGAGAAGGGTGATGGGGTCATCAAATTTCATAGAGATAAGGTGACTTCAAAAATCTTCCCAGCCACATCACAAAGGAGAACATCTGGAGCAAGTGGTTTGCCAGCAAAGAGGGGAGACTGAGCAACTGGTATGCAGCAGGTCCCAACATGAGAAAGGAAGGAGTAAGTAGAAGGGCAGCTGAGATAAGACTCTGGAAAGGTGAACACTGCTCTCCTGATGGCTCTGCAGTTTCGGTAGGCTCATTCTAGAGAGGTTTCTATAGTCAGAGTCCATTTGACCAACAGGCTGGCCAGGAGGCTTTACTCCTGAGACCTTCCTAAGAAAGTGACTTGGGACACAGTCAACCACCTTGAACCGAGGTGGGTTGGGGTATATGATTCCACCAACACAAGAGGAGAAACGCAAGAAAATTAACTACAACTTAATGCTGTTTTAAGTCTTTTTTATCTGTAAAACAGCAATGCTGTTTCTAGAAGCTGTCCCACATGCTTTCCTCCTTTGGCCTGACAACACTGGTATTTAACTGCTTAAACATCACAAACTATTTTGTTGACAGAAATAACTGGCTCTTCACTTAGCAATGCAGAGGTTGTATGACTGCAATTCCACTTAGGAAATATTTCCTTTTCAAATTACTAAGAAAGCATCCATAATTCTATACACTAGGGAAAACATACTGACATTTAGAAACAGACAGATTTTTTTTATTGTTTTATGACAGTGTATTTAAACCAAAGTAGAAATGTGACTGAACAACACCTTCTCTAGTTTCTGCATCTCTAAATTCCCATAACTCTTTTCTCTCAGTTGATTTAACTGACCTCTGTTGATTGGGAGGAAATCAGACTCTATGCAAGCTAAACTAAAACTAGAAGAACAGATTCTTTCGATATGAATACCTGGTTTTGGTTGGTTTTTTTTTTTCACTTCTCAAATTATTTTTGGATAGGAAACAGTTTTTGAAGACAGCTTATCAAGCACAATCATATTCAATAAAAATTAATGTGAACTAAACTTATTTACAAAAATTATATACTCCAAAACCAAGCACCTTTTAAGGGAAATTTTGTAACTTATCCCTTAATTGAATTAAAATTCAACACAAAGTCCCTTTGGATAAAAATGGAAATTCAAAACCAGTGAAGAACAGATTGAAGACCCAAACATTTTTCCAAATACAGTTTTTAGAAAACATAAATAAAGGAATTAATGGAAATCTCATAATAATAAAACTGAATATTTATGAAACTAATAATCCAACTTTACTGTGGCTAAAAGTAAGTGAAAATTATGATCCTTTATGATCTTTAGGTTGTCATGATTTAATTTTTTTGTGTTATACCATCATGCTTCCTAAGCCTATGCTCTAGAAGCAGGACTTTCATATAATATTTTACAAAGTTCATGGAGGAAAAAAAATTTAGTTGGCTCATCTTTCAATATTAAATTGCACCATTCATATGAAGAAGTAGAGAACTGACACAGAATTTTTTTTTTGTAAGCAGCATGTATAACACAAAGTTATGTTTCAGAGGATATAATATCCATACTATATAAATGCTCCCATAATCCATTTAAGCATTCTGATTTATCTTCTGCCATAACAAAAGCAAAAGTATATTCACTGAAACCAATTTGATAAGCACAAAACTGAAACAGTCAAAAAAGTGTGGCTATTATTTAAAACACAACTAGCCACAAGAATTTAGCTAGGTTTTGAAAATACTTGCATACATTAAAAACTCCAAGCTACTGAAAACATCTATTTTCTCTGTAAGTTCTCAAATTATCATTGTTGATCAGATTCAGAGAACCTCTCTTACGATAGAGGGTCCGTTTAGTATGGGTTTGTTTTTTTTTTTTGCACTGTACTGTTACTTGTTCTATCCTTGTAAAAATCCAATACTGGCTATTGAATGGGATATTAAACTAATTAGTAAAATTTGTATTAACTCTCTTAAATGAAAATTAATATAAAAGTGTAATTGTTAACTCTGCATTTAGAGAATTGCAAAAATTAACATGAATTCTAGAAAATATACAAATCCTCTTAAATTACTCTTACAATTTCTAAGAGATATCGGATACTCTTTGATTTCCACTCAAGTGATTTCTATTTAATCCTTACCAGAAGTAAAGTACATAAGCAATAAACAGATCTTTCACTTTCATCCTCTATTTCTGTAGAAAAACCCCTTTAGAAAGATGTGAAGGAACAACAGAAAATTAAAACCACCTTCTTATTTCTTGCACAGGATTAGCCCACTCAGGAATGCACTCAAACTTGGCCACAACAGTCTCAAGTGTCATTTAGGATTGCACTTATTCTGCAGCAAATCAGAACAATCAAAACCAATCTAAATTACATCATAATTCCTCTTAGAAAAAATAGGTTTAATCAACATGAGTAACACCTTCTGGGTTGCATTTGGTTGTTTTGTTTAAAAAAAGAACAAAGAAATGCTCTTTCTTGATATCATGGCGAGAAATCCAGCACTAAAATTCTTGAAAACCTCAACATTGCCTTTCCTGAAACAGACCTCCAATGTTGGCAGGAAGAGTCAAGGAAGGCATAGGAAGTGCTAGAAGTAAGCAGCTACTTACTTTAAGACAAAAAAAGTTTAGAATTATTTTATGCTACTTAAACCCACTAGTAATGTGAAGTTCCAGAAAATACTCTTTCTTCACCAATGGGTTTAGCCATATGCTTATTTCTTGCACATCTGTTCTTTTCCTAAACATCCAATTTGTCTTTGGTGATCTCTAGAAAGTATTACACAGACTTGATCCTTTCTGCCTTTCTCCCACCAACACTTCCGTACTATGGAGAAGGTCCTTTGTTTCATCAAGTTTGAATAGCAGAAAGTGAAAAGATGAGTATCCCGGTTTCAGCCGGGATGGAGTTGATTTTCTTCCTATTAACTAGTATAGTGCTGTGTTTTGGATGTAATATGAGAATAATGTTGATAACACACTGACGTTTTAGTTGTTGCTAGGTAATGTTTACGCTAGTCAAGGACTTTCCCGTGCCCTGCCAGGTGCACGGGGGGCTGGGAGGGAGTCTGGCCAGGACGGCTGGCCCAGCTGGCCAATGGGCTATTCCATACCATATGACGTCATGCTCAGCATATAAGGCTGCGTGAAGAAGAAGGAGGGGGGGGACGTTCGGAGTGATGGCGTTTGTCTTCCCAAGTAACCGTTACGTGTGATGGAGCCCTGCTTTCCTGGAGATGGCTGA